CCCTCTCCCATTTCTTTATAGACAACAGTTTTGTTATTTTTTTTGTTTTTGAAATTATTTTGAAGCTATAAAGTTTTGCCATAAACTCATCCAAGTTTATTGGAGAGGGAACAGAGTTGATTTTTAAGAAGTTTTTCAATCTTAGATAAGTAAAAATATCTCGATTAGCTAGATCAAATTTTCTTTTTTAGAGTTTTAAAAGATACCATCTCCCCTTCCGGAAATTCCTTTACTTTTCCAGCTTGATAAATCTAGAGCTTCAATATACTGGTTAAGAACTGTGTCCTGAGTAATATATTCTTTAAAGGGACACTATAGTCACCTGAACAAATGTAGGTTAATGAAGCAGTTTTGGTGTATAGAACATGCCCCTGCAGCCTCGCTGCTCAATCCTCTGCCATTTAGGAGTTAAATCCCTTTGTTTATGAACCCTAGTCACACCTCCCTGCATGTGACTTGCACAGCCTTCCATAAACACTTCCTGTAAAGAGCCCTATTTAGGCTTTCTTTATTGCAAGTTCTGTTTAATTAAGATTTTCTTATCCCCTGCTATGTTAATAACTTGCTAGACCCTGCAAGAGCCTCCTGTATGTGATTAAAGTTCAATTTAGAGATTGAGATACAATTATTTAAGGTAAATTACATCTGTTTGAAAGTGAAACCAGTTTTTTTTTCATGCAGGCTCTGTCAATCATAGCCAGGGAGGTGTGGCTAGGGCTGCATAAACAGAAACAAAGTGATTTAACTCCTAAATGACAGTGAATTGAGCAGTGAAATTGCAGGGGAATGATCTATACACTAAAACTGCTTTATTTAGCTAAAGTAATTTAGGTGACTATAGTGTTCCTTTAATTCCCATCTTTGCTCTCACCTTTGCCCCAGCTTAAATTGCTTCTACAAAACAATGTAGTAAAACATGGTTACATCGTGTAGTAGGTTTAGATCCGAGAAACCTAATTGAGTGCTATATTTTTAAATCACATTGTATGCTATTCATGGTTTCTTATTCTCCCAGATAAAGGAGAGGAATATTTTTTAAATTTTCTCCAAGATAGTAGCTGGCACTCCCAATGAAATCCTCCTAAACAAAAATAACACGTTAGGGACCAGATAAGCTTTCACAATAGTTAGTCTTCCTAAAAGTAATCCCTCTAGTTTTTTTATTTTGTCTATTTGTAAATTAAGATTGTGAACTAACAACTCATAATTTTCCAATATATATCTTTCTAACTTCAGCGTTATTTTTATAACCAAATAATTTATCCTATCGTTATCCCAACTAAACTGGAATTGACTTTGCAACCATTGACTTTGAAAGGATGATAACCCGTTACTTACAATTTGGGTTTTTTTGAGGCTGAATATAAAAAGAATTATAAAAACAGAAGATCCCTGATGGTAAGTATATATATATTTTTAACATGTATTAAATTAATTCCCCCCCCCTCTTACAATTAGTGGTATCATTTTTTTTAATGGGGTGGCTAAGGAATTGGGGGCAACATCATGTCAACACTCCTATTTTATAATTAATTTACCCCTCATTGCCTATGGGTGGGAGCTGGGGTAAACGCTGGGTACTCCTCATGATTATTAAAATTAGGGCCCTCACCCATTACCCATTGGTGGTGGCCGGGGGGCACATTAAGTCCTCCCCCTTTACTCTTATAATCAGGGCCCCCACCCTGTGCTATTAGGTGGGGACCGGTGGTGGGCTATGGGTGGACTATGTATCCATGTTATTTCACAGTTTTTGTTATTACCTTTATAAAAATCCAAATTTCAAATGAGAAAACTTTCAATGTTTTTCTTTTTATTTATATATATTATGTACTTTAAATTGCAAAATTCTGTTTTGTTCTATTAAACTAACATAATAGTAATTTACATTTCATTTTATTTACTCTAAACCAGAGAACAGCTGATTGGGTAATTAAAGTGTGGGAGTACACTCACAATGAACAAAGCAGAAGAAAAGCAATTAATGGATCCAGAATGTGTAAATCAATTGAAAACTCAAGATTTGCCAAGTATTAATGTTTTATTTTGCTCAATTTCAAGTCGATGAATCCAGAATTATAATATACTTTAGTAATTACTCCAAAATAATTATTTACATCTATAATCTTTTTATAGACAGGCAACTGGTATTTATCTACATGGAGCACATAAATCACACCAAGGTGGCATATTTCATTATTAAAGGACTTTCTGATGACCCAAAGCTGCAAGTTCCAATCTTTCTTCTTGTTTTGCTACTTTATCTCATCACTCTTGGTGGTAACATGACTGTTTTTCTCCTGATCTGTCTGGATCATCATCTTCACACTCCCATGTACTTCTTCCTGGCCAACCTGTCCATTCTGGATATATCGTCTACCACAGTCGTTTTACATAATGTTTTAATTAGGTTTGGGACCAGAAACAGAACTATTCCATATGTTACTTGCCTAACGCAGATGTGTTTTTTTGGAACCTTTGTTAATGCAGGATTATTAATCCTTACAGCCATGAGCTTTGACCGCTATGTGGCAATCTGTAATCCCTTACGGTACGTAATCATTATGAATCACAAAATTTGTATTCTGTTGGTCATTGTCTGTTGGGCTGTAAGCATGTTGGAAGTTCTCCCCCATGTTTTCCTATTGGCAGAGTTTACTTGTTACAGAAGAAATATAATTAATCATTTCTTTTGTGACATCATGCTTGTCATAGAACTTTCATGCAGTGACACGTCTGTTCTTAAGACATTATTTTTTATTGAAGGTGTGTTCCTTCTTGGCCTTACCCCCTTCCTTCTCACCTTTATTTCTTATGTTTTTATCATTGCAACCATTCTGAAGATCCGTTCGAGCACTGGAAGACGTAAAGCCTTCTACACATGTTCTTCTCATCTCACTGTTGTCATCCTGCTCTACACAACGTTGGTTCTCCAATACCTGAGACCAATCTCAGAGGACAGCCTGGATTACAATAAATTCTTCTCTCTTTTTAACACAACTGCTGTTCCCATTTTAAACCCATTAATTTACAGCTTAAAAAACAGAGAGGTGAAGTCAGCTCTGAGACGGAGGTTACTAGGGAGCTAAGCTAAATCACAGATATGCAATGTTAACAAACAGCTGTGTTACAGGTATATTCCAGATAAGCACTGTTAGTAAAGAGATGCCAAAGTGAAAATTGACAGAATTGCCAATGACACTGGTAAATAACACAACGAAGCTGATCTGCAAGAAAAGAGAAGATTGCAGGCCCCGGCCCTCACTTGTCCAACCAAATGGATTTATCAGTAAGAGATAAACTCTTCACCTAGTTTATAACACAAAAATGACTTTTATTTCCATTTTAAATTATACATGGTATTGCAATTGGGGGATAAACCAATAAAGAAGATTCCTTATGTGTTATTTGCAATTTTGAGGATTTTTCTAAATTGTATCACTGCTTTATGCTCTTATAATAATAAGCTGAGCAATTATACATAGTTAGAAAACACAGATACCCCAGATATACAGGGTTAGTATAGAGCTATATCCCAGATATACAGGGTTAGTAAATAGCTATATCCCAGACATACAGGGTTAGTAAATAGCTATATCCCAGATATACAGGGTTAGTAAATAGCTGTATCCCAGATATACAGGGTTAGTAAATAGCTGTATCCAAGATATACAGGGTTAGTAAATAGCTGTATCCCACATTTACAGGGTTAGTAAATAGCTGTATCCCAGATATTCAGGGTTAGTAAAGAGCTATATCCCAGATATACAGGGTTAGTAAATAGCTGCATCCCAGATATTCAAGGTTTGTAAATAGCTATATCCCAGATATACAGAGTTAGTAAATAGCTGTATCCCAGATATACAGGCCTATATAGTTTGGCCTTGTGGCGGTCACCCTCTCTTGCCTACTCTCTGCCAGATGTCACACGTCTGGCTAGTACTGCCGCACATCCTTGGATATACCTGGCCAGAAGAACGCATAGGTCAGTCGGTATCGGGTTCGGGTCATACCCAGATGCCCAGACAAGGGAATATCATGAGCAATCCTATGAAGTTCCTGTCGATATTTCTGGGGTACTACTAGCTACAGATCCCCCCACCACCCACCCAGCTTGGAGATAATGAGGCTAACGGTTATACAATCTAATTATCTCCAAGCGCACAAAACGACCATGCTTTATTACGTTCCAGAAAACAGCATAAAAATATATAACTTAGGCATTATAAAGTGAATATAGTCCTTTCCACGTATCATTCGGTAGCTCAGCTCTGGATGCATTAAGTGTGCGAATTGCGCCCAGATACCGCAAAACGAGCAGGAGGTTTCTGCCATATAAAGTCCTGTTCGGTAGCTGGATTCTAAGCCCTCGATGGCGGCCATGTTTTTGGGTCCGTCAATGGCCAGCGGGACCTCAATGCTGTAGTCATGGAGCGGAGGTCGGGTATAGAATCATGCGAATCCCCGCTACCAGTCTGGTTGTCCCGACTGTTTGGGATACGAATGGAGCCCGCCCGGGAGGGGTACTTAACCTGCGGTTAACCGCAGAATGAACGTTCTAATCGATGCCATGCATCAGAATGGGTAGTCCCCATTCGTGAGTTTTTCGGTCGTTTCCCTTCGGGTCATTGTACGCGAATGGGAAATCCCTTGGGACCGTTAATTAACTGGCGGTTAACCGCAGACCGCAACGCTTGGGGGGGTTGATGAGCGGCACCCAGGAAAGCAATTAACTACCGATTGCTACAATATTGCAATTGGTTAATGGGAGCCACACGACCCTCTGTGTGTGGGCTCCCATTCGGTACTTTATTAGTTTCACTAACAGTGTCTAAAGTCACTGTTCGTGAAACTACCATATAAATGCTAGCGGCTTTCGGCCATTAGCATACGAATACTCCTTATTGCAAACACACACGAATACATCATGGCATACAATAAAAGCAGACAACCTTCTGATGTTATACCGTAAGTCTTAAAGTGGCTAGGTTTGCCACAGTAGTAATTCGGACCAATTGTCTTGAGTGCTATTAACTAACAACACAAATATAATTCCAAGGACTGGCTAGCCCTCTCAGCTGTACCATTGGTCTGGGAGTGGTAAGAGGATGAAAAGACAATTAAATCCCTAATTGTTTATTGAAGGCCATCCAAAACCGAGACACAAACTGAGAACCTCTGTCAGATACTATATTGTGAGGAATGCCATGCAGATGGACAATTTCTCATATAAAGATTAGTACCAGGTCTTGAGATGACGGCAATTTCTTGAGAGAAATAAAATGAGCCATTTTAGAAAAATGGTCCACAACCATGAGAATGGTGGTATAACCGTTAGAACTAGGAAGTTCAACAATGAAGTCCATGGACAAGTGGGACCATGGGACCTCAGGAATAGAAAAAAAGATTGTAACAAGCCACAAGCGAGTTAATTAGGCACTTTGGAAACCGCACAAACAGAACTAGCCTGCACATATACCTTAACATCCTTCCTGAGGGAATACCACCATGATGGAGCCCACCAGTGGAGAGGAAAATGAAAGGACAGTGGACGCAATGATACATTTTGAATGATATGGGACATTTCTTGCTCTAGTATAGCCTCAGTATCAAACTGTCTGGACAAGGTGTTGGCCTTGACATTTTTAAAACCAGGTCTGTAAGTGATAAGAAAATTAAAACGAGAAAGAAATAGAGACCAATTAGCTTGTCTAGAAGATAATCGCTTAGCATCTCCTATGTAAGCCAGGTTTTTGTGATCAGTAATGATCAAAAGGGGGTCCTTGGAACCCTCTAAAAGATGTCGCCACTCCTTGAGAGCTAGAATAATGGCCAACAATTCTCTATTGCCAATATTGTAATTGCGCTCAGCATGAAACAACTTTCTAGAAAAGTAACCACAAGGATGTAATGGAGTTCCCTGGCTCTCCCTCTGGGAGAGAACTGCCTCTATCCCTGGCTCTGAATCATCAACCTTCAGTATGAAAGGCTTACTGGTGTCAGGATGTATCAATATTTCGGCGGAGGCAAATCGCTGTTTGAAAGTTTCAAAAGCTTCAATATCCTCCTTGGACCATATCGTACTACGAGTCCCCTTGCGTGTCATATTGGTGATGGGGGCTATTACTGAAGAAAATCCCTTTATAAATCTTCTGTAATAATTGGCGAAACCAATGATCCTTTGAATGGCTTTCAACACAGTGGGTAAAGGCCATTGTAGAACAGACTCTAGTTTTTTAGGATCCATCTGAAACCCCGAGGCAGAAATATTATATCCTAAAAACTGTACTTCAGACTGGTCAAATATACATTTTCCCAATTTACAATAAAGTTGCTTTTTTAACAAGGTTTGCAGAACTTGTTTAATGTGATCGTGGTGAGACTGGAGGTCAGGAGAATAAATAAGGATATCATCCAGATAGACCAAAACAAAACGAGTAAATGTAATCCCTGAGTACATTGTTAATGAAATCTTTGAAAACCGCTGGAGCATTGCACAACCCGAATGGCATCACTAGATATTCATAGTGTCCACTTCTGGTATTAAATGCAGTCTTCCACTCTCCTGATTCTAACTAAACTGTAAGCGCTTCTAAGGTCAAGCTTCGTAAACACTTTAGCTTCCTGGAGTCTGTCAAATAATTCAGCAATAAGAGGAATGGGGTAGGCGTTCTTAATGGTGATTTTGTTCAATGCCCTGTAATCGATAAATGGTAACTTTAGATACAAAAAAGAATCCTGCAGCAGCAGGAGAGGAGGATTTTCGTATATGGCCTTTGTTCAATGAATCTTTAATACACCTCATTACACTACTCTCCTGAGGAGATAGAGCATAGACTGCTCCCTTAGGTGGCATAGCGCCTGGTAGTAAGTTAATAGAACAGTCATATGGTCTGTGAGGAGGTAGAGTATGTTGAATACTTCTTTAATGTCTTGGTATTGTATAGGGATCTCGGGATTTTGAGGTGTACTAGTGGGTAATTCAATAGCACCCACTTTTTTTGGTGACATGCAATATGCACCTTTCATTACAATCCTTACCCCATTCTAATATATCCCCATTAGCCCAGTCAATATGAGGGTTATGCTTGCTAAGCCATGGGAATCCTAAGAGGATAGGACAAGAAGGAGATGCAATCACATGAAATGTAATCTCTTCCTTATGTAAGGCACCAATGGAAATATTAATGGGTAATGTTTCATGCGTTATCAGTGGTTATGAGAGTGGTCTCCCATCAATAGCTTCAACAGCTATGGGTGATAGTCTGTCTTTGATAGGTATAGTATTACCCTTGACAAATTGAACGTCAATGAAGTTTCCAGCAGCACCTAAATCCATCAGGGCTTTGCATGAAAAGTTATTTTTGTCAAAGGCTATAGAAGTGTCAAGGAGAAACCTATTTTTATACTTTTCAGAGGACGTTTCCATTACACCTAAGACCTGCACACTTAAGGTGCTTAGGTGCGGTAGTTTTCCGGACGTATGGGACAATTGTTTCTCATATGTCCCTTCCTACCGCAGTATAGACATAGGCCTTCTTTTCTCCTATGTTGTCTTTCTGCTTCCGACAGTCTAGTGACCCCCAACTGCATGGGTTCGGGTTCGGACTGTACAGGAATTTCAGGGACAATAGGTCTGGAGAAACGGGGTGCTAAATGCATACTCATGCATCTGGTCTTGTTTCTAGTAGCTTCTCAGATTCTCAGTCTATTATCAATCTGCATGACAAAGGTGATAAATTCATTACTTTTTTTGGGTAAGTCTTTGGCGGCAATCTCATCTAGGATAGTTTCAGATAATCAATTTTTAAATGCAGAGATTAACCCACTATCAGTCCAGTCTACCTCGGAAGCTAGGGTACGAAATTCTATGGCATATTCCAAGATAGACCGGTTCCCTTGTCTGATATGCATCAGTGCAGAAGAGGCGTCATCCTCTCTGCCTAAAGGGTCAATCGTAAGTTTGAATTCCGTAAGGAACTCCTGGTAATTGTGTGCCACCCTCCTATTACTCTCCCATAATGGATTGGCCCAAGCTAAAGCTTTACCTTTTAACTGATTCATTAGGTAACCAATTTTAGCTCTGTCTGTGGGAAAAGATTCCGGTGAGGCCTCAAAATGATATTCTATTTGGTTAAGATATCCCTGCCATTCTTGAATATTACCATCAAAATGCAGTTGAGGAGATAGGGAGATTGTAGGTGCATTGTGTACTATAGGTGGAGGTACATAAGGTGGAGGTGAGGCCGCAGGTTGCAGGTGCTCTGTTCAGGTAAGAAGTGTACTGAAGGCCTGGGCAAATTGATGTAGCTCCAGTAGGGTAGGGAAGGTACAGTTCAATAATTAAACAGTAAGTAATCCTGTGACCAAACAGAACTCTGCCGAATGTGTGTGGTATGAAGAAGGTTTAGCTAGTTGGAAGAAGTGTCCCTTAGTTAAGGACAGATGAAGGAATCTTTCTGTTGCACATAGTATGAAAGCATGCCTAAACGTTTCTAAGGATGGCACCAGCACACAGACATATAGCGATGTAGGTACGTCTATTGCTTTAACACATTATTAGCATTTATTATTGCATATGGCAGCTATAATATGCATCATCAAACTTAACATCTATGAACGGATTGCCATCAGAAGCCATTTTTGGGTTGCAATTCAGTCATTTCCGGCATGTGGTGTGTATAATGATGCAGTTTAATGACTGACCAATTGACATTCAGGGAAGGCAGTTCACATTATGTAGGGAGTGTAAGATTAGATGCCTGCTCCTCAACCTCAGCTAACTAATAAACACTGACGTTAAGATACGAGACAGAAAGCTTTATTGACTTGTATCACCATATTTAGATATCCTTTATGAAGAAAAAGGTGTACAGGCCATGTGGATGAAAATGGGGAAATGATGAATATATTTATCTTTGATTAAGACATGTCAGCATTATGAGATTTTAGCTTGTTTTAATTTGAAACATATTTAGTAGAAGTAAACAAATGGAACAACAAGTGTTCTCTATCATGTGTGGATTATACAGGTTACAGATCTCTCAAACGTTCAGGCAGTTAATTCTCCCATTAGGATATAGAGATTTTAAATGACATTTATTATATTGCCCCATGGTAAAATTAAACTTCTGGGAAATGTCTCTCTCTGGGGACGTTTTGCAAAACCGACCAAGAGAAATCTTATAAAATGCCTGCTTGTAACTAAATCCCCTCTAGCACAGAGCTGACTGTGAGGACAATGCAACATTTCATTTCATCAGCAAAAATAACAAAACAAATGAAAATGAAATTTATATTAAAAGCTGGATAAATTTTACAAATCATTAAGATATTTTTCATAAGCAACAGAAGTGGAATAATTCTGAACAAAGGTTTTTACCAGATTACCTTCAGCTCACACATCTCCGAATGCTTTAAATTGTAAAGGGAAATAAATTACTGCAACTCCCATGATCCTCAACAATTTTTCCCTTACAGATCTACCATTTGCCCACTTACAGCTTAGAGAAAAGTATGGTGACTTTGCACAGAAGGCAATTGTTCTATATTTCCATCCTGCCCCATGAACGCTTTATACAAGGTAATATCTAATCATGTGCTACATCCCTCCGTATATGTTGTAACATTAAATCAACAGACAGTGGTCACCAATCAGAAGGCAGTTTTTATCAAGAACTGAGTCTGCAAGTCTATCTATAAAATAGTACACGTATTTATGAAAAATATGAAAATTATTCATGTTAAAAACTATGTGAAATAGCTAGGCTTTGATGAGTCATAAAGAAGGAAGACAAACATGCTTCACACTGTTATTAGCTGCAATCCTCATGGAATTTCGATATCAAAGTTTTACACTCGAGCACTGTACTTGCACTGTGTTTGGTGGCAGTCCCCATTTAGGGTTGGCTTCATGGTACGGTAGCCAAGATATTCTGGTTTATCACTGAGAATTCCCATTCTCTCATATCTGTAACTAGTATTACCATGATTCCCTATAGCTCTACTAGGATTTGCACATACATCTCCTCATTCCCTCCAAACCTCTTCCCTGTTGGAATAGGGAACCCACTTTCATCTGGGTGTTTGTGTTATATTGTTATTGTGTGATATTTTCATCACATCAATTTACTTTCTAATTACTTTTTATTCCTCTCGTTTTTTTTTCCTTTCTTCTTGTTCTTGAGTAGTGATGTACCGA